TGACCCGTCCCTGTGTCAGAACGGCCCTGTCTCTCAGAACCTGCGGCATGGCGTGACCTCCAAAGCCATGGTGGGAGGTGAGGAGGTCACAGTGCCTGTCGGTCCCAGACCCACAGGCTCTGGGGGAGCCCGGGCAGGACAGTGGCTGGACCACAGTACCTGTGGGGACCTTCCCAGCTCAGACTCCATGGCCCCCCACCCCGGGCACCCAGAGAGGCGGGACTCCAGGGTAGCGCTGGACCCAGCTAGCCATGTGGGCACGGACACTGCCCGCCTGTCCCAGCCATGGGCACCGGTCACCACGTGCCCTGCCCTGGTGGCCGGAGGAGGTGCGCGAGGAGTCCTCATAGCTGGGGGTCGTGGAGGTGGACTTTCACTGACCTCAGACCATGAGGAGCCAGGAGAGCAAAGTCACGTGCGTTTGCCAAGCACTTCCTACGAGCGGGCCCTGTTCTGAAACCGCCAGGGGCACCCGCTCATGGGATCTCACACTAGTCCAGTGAGGCAGAGGTGGATGTTACTCCCTTCTCCCTAAAGAAAAAGGCCCACGTTCAGGGTCGAGTAGCTGGCGGTGGGTCTGCCATCACTGCGGAGGGGCACGTTGGAGGGGAGGAAGGGGACGGGCAAGCGAGTGCCGTCTGGAAGCATCTGGGCTAGGGCTCTGGGCCCCCAGGAGGAGCTGGGGACATCTCCAGGGAGCAACTGTCGCTGGCAGAGGCCGTCCAGGCTACGCCCTGGTCTGGGACAGAAGGGCGAGTGAGTGGCCACCAGAGAGGAGAGCCCTGGTGGGACTGAACCACCCAGGTGAGAAGCAGTCAAGCCTCCTTTGAAACTGCGAAGGCCGACCTGGCCAGGCGGCTCGGTGGGTCCGAGCATCATCCCAACACACCAACCAGGGTTGCAGCCGCAGTCCCCGGTGGGCACACGTGCAAGGATCAGCATAAACACTGCACGTAGCTCTCGCTCTCTCTCAGATCAGTTTTTAGAAAATGAAATGGCAAAGGCCTCCAGGGGAAAGGTGCCCCTTCCTTATGACCCGCGGGTGTGACTGCACGGGGCTGCAGACGAGTTTGGGACTGTTTGCTTTGTCCTGTTGCTGTGCAGAGGCACCTTTACAGACTGGAATCCCCGGGCCGCCCTCCCGGGGCAGGTGGACGGGCGGCTCCCCCAGGCCCAGCCTGGTCTGGTCCCGTCCGGTCCCCTCGTGCCGGAGTCCAGGGCCCGGGAGTCCGGGGTCGACACAGGAAAACAGACGCTCTGCCCCTTCTCCCCGCTCCTCCCGGCCCCTTCCCAAGGGTGTGCACTTCAAACACAAGGAACAAACCGTTTTCATCCTGGGCGAACAATGGGGAAGAGACTTTCAAAGGAGATTGTAGTCTTTTTTATTTATTTTCCCTTTTAGATGAGAAGGGAGGGAGAAAAAGGGAGGGAAACATCAATGTGTGAGCAGTATATTGACTGGTTGCCTCTTGCACGCCCCTAACTGGGGACCCGGCCCACAACCGAGGCATGTGCCCTGACCGGGAATCTGGACCTTCTGGTTCACAGGCCAGCGCTCACTCCACTGCGCCACACCAGCCAGGGCCAGGAGATTATAGTCTTATTTGAGAAACACAAAACAGCATGTGCCCAGGGGGACGACTGAGAACCAGATATGCTGGGGTGGTTTTCTTCTGTAAGTTCTTGCTTCCCTCATCTTGGCTCTAACACCTCCAAGCCAGGTGGCTGGTTCTGTCAGCAGAGCCCTCTCTTCCAGCCGGGTGACGCCCTCCCTCGAGGAGTTGTGACGTGCCCTCTGCTTGTCCCAGAGCCACGGGAATGGCCTCGGTCCTTCTGCTGGAGAACGTCACATCCAGCCTGGTGCTGCCCCAGTGCCCTTTCGACATGCCCGGAGCAGTCTCGGAAGCACTGGGACCGCCCTCTCTCCCCAGTGTCCCTGGCTCGGCCCGTGGCTGCCTGCCCTGTAGGCAAAGGTCCGGCCCAGCTTTCCAGAGGCCCCGAGGCAGCGCTCCGCTCCCACCCCCACCCCCACCCCCACCGGAGAAATGGCTGATCCTAAAAAAGCCCGGGGCTCCACAGAGTGCTCCCTTCTGAGAGCCGTCTGACACTACAATTTCCAGATCAAAGTCAGCTCTGTTCTGGAGTCTTCTTGGTCCCCACTTCCGAGCTATTTTTAATTTGCTTATTTAAAGAAACCGTCATCTCTGCTCAACAGCATCCATTCTGTTGTGGGATTTGGAAGCATGCCGAGGGCACGCGGTTCACTCAGAAACAGACCTTTAACGATCAAGTCAGGGCCTTGACACAGTTGTGCAGAAATGCTGCTGGGTACGGGGCTCTTTGCCGGGCCCGTGGGCAGCATTTCCTGCTGGTCCCTGGCTTGTGACCGGTGCCACGGGGCCACGGTGCCCCGCACGGCTTCACGCTGCGGACGGGCCTGATCTGGGTCGAAGCCGCAGCTGCAGGCCTCCTCATGGGCTTGCTGCAAACCTCCCGACTCTCATCGGCAGAAAGAAAATTCAGAAAACGAAAACCACCACCAACAAAGGGCACCCCCTGCATGGGACGCTTCCGGTAACCGACGCCTGATGAACCTCAGCACCTGGCTGGGCAAGAGCTCCGGTGTCTTATTTCTTGCGATCCTGAGCTTTACGGCAGCCTGTGCTTGTGACTCGATCTTGAGTTTGTTGTGGCCTCGTCCTCTCCTCTGGGCCTGGGCCTCTGGCCGTCAGAACACGGGCTTTTGGAAGACTCAGACTGAGAGGGTGGGTGGCTTCCAGGCTCAGGGCCTGCAGTTCCCACAGTAAAAGCAAGGTTTTCATCCTTTTCTTAAACATGTCCATGCCTGATGGGGAGAGGGCTGCTTGTAGAACAGAAAAGACCTGTGTCAACCTTTTAATGAAGGAATGGGCATTAAAGTAATAAAGGACCATGGTTCGTATATAAGCTAACACAGTTTTTGTTTCTTGGGTTTTTAAAAAAATTTTATTAATTTATTTTTTTAGAGAGGGAGAAAGAAACATCAATGTGCGGTTGCTGGGGGTCATGGCCTGAAACCCAGGCATGTACCCTGACTGGGAATCGAACCTGCGACACTTTGGTTCGCAGCCCACGCTCAATCCACTGAGCTACACCAGCCAGGGCTGCTAACACAGTTTTAAATGATCACACTCAGCCGTGACAAGGGAGTGGTGGCTGGGGCTGCTGCTCCGGTAGGAGCTGCTGGTGTCAGGAAAGGGGGCAGGTCCTGGGAGACAGATAAGGTAGCTCGTATGCATCTGGAACCCTCTAAAAAACCCCTTTGTATGTCGATGTTTTACTTCTGGAAGTCTGAAGAGATGCACTCCCAATGGGGCGGAGCTCTGTGCGTGAAGACGTTCGTGGCGACCTTCATCACAGCAACAGATTAGAAGCAGAGGATTGTCCGGGAGTAAGGAAGGGTCTAAGTGGGTGGGGGGACAGTTACTCCATGAAACATCTTGCGCCCATTAGAATTATGAAGACCATGTGGCACCGTGGACGACGCTTTCGCTAAGTGAGAAAATGATGCCCCACATTATAGGCATAATAATAGCACAGCAGCCTCGTAAGATACGTCCATGGGAGAGATCACACAAAAATCCAGAAAGGAATAGTGATTGTGGGAGAATAATGATTAAGGGTGATCAGTGATTTTCTTCTTCTTTTCTCTAGTTTGCAAAGTTTCTGTATTGTGGTGGGATTACTTTTATCTGAAAATATGCAGACGGGGGAGCCGAAGTGGCGAGGAAGAGAGGCATTGTCAGGACTGATTGTAGGGGGGCCGAGACGGCTGGCCGGTCGCTCGTCCTGCAGAGCCTGGGAGACGAGACGGCGCCCTCTGCGGGTTCGGATCCAGAGAGGGTTCAGGTTTCCACGTAACCATTTGCTGGTCGGACCAGCCCGGCACTATCATTTGTAGAGATCGAGCAGCGTCGGGTTGCAGAAAGCATCCCTGGGGCTCTCCCATGTGGGGTGTGGCCGTGCTGGGTGCCGGGTGCCCTGCGCCAGGCCCTGCCAGCCCTCCAGGGTCCACCATCTCAAGTGGGAGGTGGCATCCTGGCCGACAGGACCAGCAGCAGGGTGAGCCCAGCAGAGCCATGCTGGGGGGACCGTCTCGGGAGGAGACCCATGGAGTGACGTGCCACCCTGGGCCGCTCGGGCTGCTGAGACAAATGCCACAGACAAGGCGGCCTGAACCGCAGGCCCACATTTCCAGCCGTTCTGGAGGGCTGAGCTGAGGGTGCTGGGGCGGTTGGGTCCTGGTGAGGGCCCTCTTCTGGGTTCGCAGGCGGCAGCTGCCTTCTTGCTGCGCCCTCCTGCGGGGGAGAGACATCTCTCCAGTTGTTTCTTACAAGGGTGCGAGCCCCATCGCGGGACCTGCTCTCCTGATATCCTAGCCTGATCCCCTCCCACAGGCCCCGCCTCCTAACACCCTCACTGTGGGCGTTAGGGCTTCAGTGTGTGACTCTGAGGGGCACCACTCGGCTCAGAGCAGGTGTGAGGGCCGTGGAGGGGGAGGCCGGGTCTCTGCAGCGCGCTCAGGCCTGCCCTGGACTCTCTTGCTTTGGACCAGGAAGGCAGGGCCTGGCTCTGTGGGTAACTCCTGCTCACTGATGCAGGTCCCGGAGGGAAGGGGCCGGGGCCGGGGCTGGGTTTTGACCCTGTCGCCCTCCCAGGGAGGGCAGTCGCCCACCAGCAGCTCCTCCGGAAGGCCCTGGAATCGTTCCGAAGGAGGCCGGTCGGTGCTCTGCTTGCCCGGCAGAGAGGCCCTAATAGGCAGCAGGAGTTGGGAGCCTCTGAGCTGTTTGTAGCATGGACTGCGGTGAGGCCTTGGCCTCAGAGCCAGAAGGTTCCAGAACATGGACCGCAAGGGGCTAACGCTGCTGCTGGTGGCGGGGGCGGGCTGTGTGAGCAGGTGCACCTGTTCTGGTGGGTTCCAAAGGTTGTTCTCCGTTCTCTCCTCCCCGTGCCCGGCGCAGAGTCAGATGGAGTTCAGCATCTCCGCCTTATCCATCCAGGAGCCGAGCGGCGGCCCCGCCAGCGAGCCCAGGCCGCCGTCCAAAGCCGCTCAGGGCTCGCAGGCCCTCCGGCCGCCCCAGGGCAGCAAGTCCTCCAGCCTGGACGCCCTGGGCCCCACCCGGAAGGAGGAGGAAGCGTCCTTCTGGAAGATCAACGCGGAGCGGTCCCGCGGGGAGGGGCCCGAGGCCGAGTTCCAGTCGCTGACGCCCAGCCAGATCAAGTCCATGGAGAAAGGTGAAAAGGTCCTGCCGGCCTGTCACAGGCAGGACCCTGCCCCGAAGGACAGGGAGGCCAAGGCGGAGAGGCCCAGCCACCTGCGTCCGGAGCCGCGCGCCCTTCCCGGTGCCGCCGTCGAGCGCGAGGGGCCACAGCCCGTGCAGGCCGGCGCCGGCGCGCTGGAGGAGGCGGCCCCCTCCGCGCCCCTGGGCAGGCAGCCCTCCCCCATGGCCGGCCCGGGGGACAGGGACGACGTGGAGGACGAGCTGTTCCCAGAACCCGCACCTGTACAGGTAGGCGGGCGGCCCCTTCCTCGGGAGGGACGTGGGTGTTCCCACCTCTTGGCCGCTGTGAATCACATTGCTGTGAACGTGGGTGTGCAAGTAGCTGTTTGGGGTCCTGCTTCAGTCCTGCGGGCTGTATCCCAGAGGAGGAGTTGCCGGGTCCTGTGGTGATTAATTCCACGGTGGTCGCACCATTTTACCTTCCTGCGAGCGAGAGGCCCGGGATCCTCCTCGTCCTCCTCACCAACGCTTGTGGGTTTTCCCCTTTTGGATAGCAGCCACCCTGGTGCCAGGTGTCTCACTGTGGGTCTGGCTGGCGTGCCTCTGAGGACTAGTGGTGTGGAGTGTCTTTTCCTGCAGCTTACTGACCGTTCGTGTGTCTTCTCTGGAGAAACGTCTCTTCAGGTCCCTTGCCCAGTGTTCACGGGTGGGTGCTTCGTGGCTGGGCGCTGGTCCTCCTCTGGGTGTTTCCCAAATGCAGTGGTGGGCGCCCCGCCCACCTTCCATCGGCTGCGGGTCCACCCTCCAGCTGATGGGTTTGGGTTTATGCTCCTTCGGGTTTACCCGGGGTCTCAGCCAGGGCTTTGGGCCCCTCCCTTTCCTGCCCATCTCCCCTCTCTGTGTCTCTAATCTTCTTGCCCTGGGCTCCTTCTCAGAGGAGCTCTGCTTGCCTCCCTCCCTGACTGGGCATCTTTCTCTGACCCTCTGCGGTCGGCTCTTCCTCCAGAGGAAGCGCTTGCCTAGCATAGCGGGGAGTCTCCATTGTAAGAGGCACAGGACCATGTTCGGGGGGTGGGGGAGTCAGGCGCCCGAAGTCCTCTGGAAGGACAGCTCTCTGAGCGCAAAGCCCAGAGTGAGAGGCTCCCATGTTGGAGAAATGGCTAGGCGACCCGAAAAAGGAAAACTTGATCGAACTCCTTAGTGTTTTCCACTTGGGCTCGCTTACTCTCCTGCGTGGATACAGCAGGGCTGGGCTGGAGCCAGGCCACCAGAGAAGTGGCGTGGCCCGTGGCTACCATGGACGCACTCTGCGTTTTCCAGCGGCATGGAGGGTGGGTTGTCAAGGTGTCCTTGCCCAGGAAGGCTGCTGGCCCCCCGGGGACATCTGCTGCGCTGGACGGGGAGAACGGGACACCTTAGTCACAGGGCTGGCGGGAGCCTGTATTGGGACGTGTCTGAATGTTGCAGCAGCTTGAGATCATTTGAACTTACCCATGTCAGTCACGTGGTGGATGCTTGACCTGAAAACTTGCTCCTGGCTTAGGGAAAACACTCCAGAACCTTCCACATAACCTGGAAGAAGCTGTACATCCTCTCCCCGTATTTTTTTATTCCCTCAACCTGGCAAGTCCTGTGTGTTCCATTAGAAAGACTACGTGTGCACCGTGTCCTCTTACTCCACGGTGACTACATGTAAACATGCCTGTCTTCCAGGAAGAGAAAAGATGCGCTTTTCTCCCTTTCTCTGCAGGCAGGTCCAGAAGCTGCTCACGGACGTGCCTGGGGACAGTAGCTGGCATTGAATCTTATTTGATTTTTTTGGTCCCAGGCTCCGAGTTAAACTCAGGTCAGGGCGCTTCTGAGACAGAGGCGGTCTGTTTCATTTGGGTCATTTTAAATGAGATGCTGTTTTTAGATCACGCCAAACTAAAAAAAAAACCCTCATGCCTTACTTTGGTGTTCTTTTCTCTCCGGCAGGTCAGCTCAAGCAGTGCCATCTTGAAGACGGGGTTTGATTTTCTGGACAACTGGTAAAAGGTGTTAAACCAAAAAAAAAAAAAAACCTCCACCAAAAACCAAGACCCCCCCCAAATGTTTTCCAGAGTGGTGTGGCGGAGGACACCGAGTGCAGCATTTCCTGGGTCATTTTCTGGTTTCTGTACGCAAATTTCTTAATCTTTTGGAAACTGGTAAATATTGCCTTGTCCAGATTCCCACAGTTTCCCCTTTTTGGTAAGACCAGAGATAACATGCTATTTTCAATGATTTGATAACAAGTTTTACATTTGGGATTTTTTAAGACTGTTGGAGCTCAGTCGATCTTTGCAGATAAATCTTCCGTTCCAGCTGCACCCAGTTCCCCCCTCCTTGGAGAGAGGGTTTTCTCCACCATGTCACCAAAATTGTAGAAGTGATTTCCACCCCCTCCTCCTTTATCCCCTCCCTGTTTTTGAATGTGTGGGGTCGCCTTGGATGGGTGATTGTCAGTGACGTGCTCAGCAGCGGTGACACCAGCGTGCTGGCTGTGACCGCGGAAAGGCTTGCTCCCCACGCACCCCACCCCACCCCACCCCACCCCGTGCTCCCAGCTGTCCGGGGCTTCCCTTGCTGAAGCCGGTTCTCGAATCGCGTGCCGCCCTCCGCCCTGTGTCGTTTGCCGGAGGCGGACTGGGCACGAGGCAGAGGGCGTCTTTAAGCGGCCCTGGTCCTTATCCAAACTACCCTTGTTTAAGAGTTGCATGTTTCAGAGTTTTGTATTAACTTTGCATTATTTTGTATCTAGATTTAGCAGTTGTAGGGCTACCACTTTTAGAAGTTCTTTGCTGCTCCTGTGGCCTGTGGGTGTCCCCTGTCCTGGGCACCTGCAGGAGGAAGGGCTGATGGCAGGTGTCGCTGGCGGACAGGGCTCCTCGGACTAGTTGTGTTAGACCTCCCGGCGTGGGCCTGGCAGGGGCGCCTTCTTCCCGAGGACTGGTCCAGCTGTGTCACCGTGGCCCCTCCCCCAACCTGGACTGCCAGCGGAAGTGGAAGAGTCCGGCTTCTGCATGGGCCCAGCAGCGCCTCCTGGAGGCCTTTGTGGTCATAGCAACGGCATCTCCCAGAGTCGGACTTCCTGCCCACTACTGCTCCGGTGGGGGCAGCCCCTGACCCCTGAGCTGCGGGAACCTGCAGGACACACCCAAGGGTGGTCTGCACGGCACCTCTCACTGTGTTCTCCTCACCCAACGCCTTAATCCCAGTGAGTCCTGCCAGCGTGCGCCTGGTCTCAATATCAACGTGCACCTTTTTAAAAAAACGCCTCTTTGTTTCATAGGACAGATCTGAAATGATTTCCAGAGTATTTTATCTGGCTCCAAGGTGAAGCACATGGCAACGTTCTTATTTTTTCCAGGAAAGTTTCTGCCAAAGCTGTGGCTTAGCCAATGTGTGGTTTGGTTCCTGCCAATTGCTTAATGTTCCGAAACCTCATTTGGCTCCTTGGGGCACTGGAGTTGACCTTCCTCCTCTGGTGACTCTATTATGGCCAACGCAGGGGTTTTCTTTCCTGTACCAATTAAGTAGGGTTGAACTCGAAAAGGGAAAACAGGTTTCTAGAGTGGTGGTGAGGGAAGGGAGCCTGGAAACCCCATCTGGGGCAGCCCAGCAGGGGGCCGGCCCCTCGGGCCGGCTGCAGAGGCCGGAGCCTGGCTTACCCCTGCCTCTGCAGGGGCGGTGAGCTGTCTTCGAACCCAGGCCTGCGAGCAGGGTCCCTTCCCCACAAGGAGATGTGCAGGTGTGTTTGTGTTCCTTGGCGTTGAGAGCAGGGAAGATCTGTGTCCTGGGACGATTAGGCCAACGGGATCCGTCTGTTCTTCTGGGAGACCATTCTAATTTCCTTCCCACTTTCCCATCGAGCCCACAAATCCTGGAGGGAGTCCTGAAGTCCAGTTGTTTTGATCTGCTTTCAGAAGTACAGAAACGTGGGAGAGAGAAGTGAAGGCTGGGAGGATGCCGGCTTCTGGTCTGCATCCTGCCTGACCTGGCGGGGAGGGGGCGGGGCTCCTTGTAACCATGGCAACCTATACACAAAGATGGTTCCTTTCCCATCCTCTTGGGAATCTATGTTCAGTGCATCCAAATAAGGAAAAAGTAAGCTCTTATGTCCACCACCTTCCCCCCCACCATGTATCAGGAGTTTCCATTTATTATTTTAAAAATACTTTTCAGCTGCAGCCTCTATGTTTTTGGATTCCTGCCCCCCCTCCACCCCCTGCACCTGGGACTCACCTCGAGGAGTCAGTGTCTTGCTTTGGGTGATTGTATTTTGCAAAATCTCTCCCAAGAGGTCAGAAACTAGTCTCAGTTCTTTCCCCTGGGGGTCTGCCCCCTACCCCCCACCGTCCCCCTGGCCTGGGAGGGCTGCCCTCGTTGGGAACAACGGGGGTTGCAGCCCCCACGTGGATGTCTGGGGGGGGGCCTCCCTTTCTTGGCGCCTCTCTTTCTTTGATACACGTTTTCAGAAATGAAGATTCCTACTGGCTACTTGTAACTTGGTTGTATTTTATATTAATAACCTTTAATAAAGCCGTTTAAAATATTCTAGACGTGTCTGTTTGGGCCTCTGCTGGGCGGGGATGAACAGAGAGGAGAAGAAACAGATTTTTACTAGTTAAACCAGAGCGAAACCGCTTCAGGAGGCCCCCCCTCGCGCAGTCCTGACCCGGGCTCCCCAAAAGTCGGTGGGAATCAGTGTCGAGGTGCACAGGCCCCCAGCAGACTCGGTGGGCTGTGTCCTGGAGGACTCCAGTACACCTGTGGGTGACATGCTTATCACAGCAAGTGACCGAGTAGGCAGGGCAGGTGCTGTCTCCCAGCGAGCCTTCACACTGACCTGGCTGAGCTGGTCTTCCTCTGAAGCAGCGACATCAGGGCTGGCCAGTCGATCTGTTTCACTGTTGTGCAAGCGAATGCATTTCTAGAACGGATACCCGTCAGGAAAGTGGTGACTCAGGTGGCCAGTAGGGCCTTGCCCTCTTGGGAGCAGGGATTTCTGGGTGAGCAGGTGACTGTACATGCTGACTTGTGCTGTGCAGCGACCGTGGGCAGGCGGGTGGGCCCGCATGCCCTGCATTAGCACATCTGCCCGTGGTGAGAGGAGGCGCAATGGCTCCTGAGCCTGTAGGTTTGGCAAGTTTTACGGTAGCTCAGCACGTGGTCCTAATACATCTTTTTTTTAAAAAAAGTGTTTTCTTTGCAAGGAGCAGCCATCCACATACAGACAAAATATGCCTAGGCCTGTTTGCACGTTGCAGCCAGGAGGGAAGACGGGGAATCGGGGCAGGAGGGCGCTCTGCTGTGGGGTGGGGTATTTGTAGGGCTCTTCTGGCCACGGGGTCGGTCTGGTTCTGTGCTTACCTGCAGTCTGCTAACGAACTCAACAGCCTTCCAGGTGGGTTGATATGAAGATGGGGGCCCCCAGAAGGGAAGTCAGTGGTGCTGATCTCCCCAAACTCAGGCGGTTCTGATACAAGATCGACTTAAAAATCAAGGACAGGCAGCAGTTCCAACTGGAAACATGAATCAAAAGGTACCAACTCCTAATGGCAGCCAGAGATACAAAGTGTCTGACAAGTATGTGAGGACTTCTTTAAAGAAAACTACAAAAATGAAATGGACTAGAAGAAGATGCGATGATCCCGGGCTGGGTAACAATATTCTAGAAATGTCATTTCCCCCAGATCATTTTATAAAGTCCGTGCAACCTCAACAAAAATCGCAGTGGGCTCTTCTGAGAAATTTGACGAATTCACGTGAACCTGCAGACTAATCGCTCACCAAAGGATGAGGGGTCTGACTCTTGGTTGTGGAAGCACATCATGAAGCTGCGGAAGCGTATCTGTGGGCATTGCTGCAGGGGTGGACGGTCCCATCAGAGCGGACGGAGAGCCCGGGTGCACGCCCCACACGTGGGAGCTTGGTTTACAATCAAGTGGCACCACAGGCGGCAGGGTTCACTGCATGGAGACAGAAATACCCAACACCGTGCACTAGGGGGCTCCACAGGGAGTCCAGACCCAATGAAAGAAGGTGACGGTGTAAAGCTAATAGGGGGGCCTATCTCGTGACCAAGGGCAAGGAAGGGCTTCTTCCACAAAAGTTCAACAGTGCAGACCACAAAGCAGCCTACTGCATCTTGTGCGTGAACGTGAAAGGTTTTTGTCAGTGGAGTGGGCATGGATAGAGCTAGTGAGCTGGAAGGATGGGAGAGCACATTCGCAACGTCCTTGGTGGTAAAGGACAAGCATCGGGGATCCAGAGGGCACCCCTGCAAAGCACCAGGAGTCCAGCACCCGCGACAGAGAGTGAACCGTAGACAAAACCCTTAGGAACTGTAAAGCATGTGAAAAGGCGCTCCAAGAACTGGTTGTCGGAGAGAAAAAGGGAGAGCATTGGGTAATGCCAGCTATTGGGCTAGGATGGTGGTTCTCAACCCGGGCAATTTTGCCCCCACCCGGGACACTTGGTAGTCATTCGTGTCAACGCCGCCAAGGGTGGGGAGAGCCCGCTGTCGGCGTCTGGTGGGTGGAGGCCAGGCACGCTGCCAAACGTCCTTCAGTGCCCGGTGCAGGCCCCACAGCAGAGGGTCTGGTCCCAGAGGTCCGTAGTGTTGGGCTTCAGAAACCCCGGGACAGAGGAGCTGTGCAGGCACCGTGTCGAGAGTAACGTGGCGGTGTTTTGCCGCAAGTCTGAAAGGAAGTCTTACACGGGCACTTACGGGGGTGTGCGCACGGCTGTTCACTGCAGTGCTGTTGGGGAGAACTGGGGGCAGGTGGATACGCCTGTCAGGGGCAGGTTGTTGGATGAAGGGGAATGCCGTCACCAGGGGTCATTCGGTGGCACCCAAAAGCAGCATAGGAGGTGTCCACGTGGCAGCGTGGGCGGGTCTGAACGAAGGTATTAGTGAAGAAAGGCAGCAAACAAAATGGAATACAGAACAATGCGCCATCTGCATAAATTGAAAACATGCACGTAACACGAGGCAGACTCGACAGTGGAATGCTGCTGGCCCCCGCAGAGGTGGCCGAGGCGGGAATAAGGGAGGCAGGAAAGAACAGATCTGGATGGACCCACGGTGATGTGCCGGAGGGCGCCTGCCTGCTGGCAAGGAAAGCCGGTATTCCTCGTAACCTGCGTCTGCTGCTGATCTCTCGCATCGGACTGGGGGCTCGTTGATTTCTCTGGCGTGCGGGCTGGAGGCGGCCGGTGGCCAGCATGGCTCAGACCTTCTGAGGCTCATCCCTGGCTGTGATCTGCGTAGATGAAGTCACACCAGCTGTTCGGGGTGGGGCAGAGGGGACGATTTCCTCCGCGGGCCAGTGCCTTTTCCACAGCAAACCGAAGTTCGCCCCACCCGAGAGTCTGCCACGCGACAGACTCACGTACCGTACCGTATGTGAAGGTCTTTCACGTATGTGAAGGTCTTTCACGTATGTGAAGGTCTTTCAGAGTGACCTGAAGTTTTCTAACCGTATCACAGAGAGTGTGGGAAACGCCGTCTACTGCTTTAACCCAATACCGGGATTTCGAAGCATTTACTGCCAGTCTTTGGCATGTGTGTGTGTGTGTGTGTGTGTGTGAAAGTGTCCAAGCCCAAGTGGAAAGCATGTGTCACAGGGACAGTGCAGACTGGAGATGAGATCCACACGTAACCCTGGCAACACGTGGGCCGTGGCCATGTGCTCAGTGCCAGGTGCTCCCCCTCGGCCCACCACCCCCTCGGCTGGTCTCTGCCCAGCGATTCATGCCAGCGTGTGGCCTTGGGACCACAGCACCCTATTTTCCTTCTGAGTTCTCACTGTGTTGCAGCCTGGTGCCGGGCCCGGGGGCTCGGGAGTGTGTAACACACATAGATGTTACCCTCAAGGGCTTACACTGTAGGGGAGGAGGCAGACTGAACATAGGTCCGTGCAAACAAATGTATAGTTAAACGTTGTTAAAAGTGAACAAGATCGCTGGCTCTGGCCCTGGCAGAGTGACTGGGAGTGGACTTACCCTCTCGTTATAAACGACCACAACATTGGGGAAAATGCAGGGAGGGGCCAAAGCCAGGTTTACAGTTGTGAGTGTGGGGAACAGTTTATCCTTGTATTGTTTACTAGTTACTGTATTATTTTCCACACAAACAGCTGTAAACGTGTTTTTGCTACACCTTGTATAGGAAATGCAGGACAGTACGTGCCGTAAGACTGTCCTGACTTTCTGACATGGGCACTTTCCAGACCGTGTCGCAGGGAGTGTGGCTGAGCTGAGGAGAGTGAGTCTGGGAGGAAAGGGTAGCTGGGGTGTGTAGGAGGGACGCACGCAGAGGAGGAGCCCCAGAAGTGTGTGCAGAATTCTCCTTGCTGTCTGCTGGAGGCAGTTTCCGGACTGCAGTGCAGGGGGCCGGGAAGTCCCAATGGAGCCTGGCAGTCTCGCTGAGGTGAGGAGAATGCATCTGGAGTTGGGAAGGCCTCGGGGGCTAGAATTGAAAGGGCAGAGCTCCAGAGAGGAAGCGTTCCAGAAGTCTGCAGAGAGGTTCTCTTTGGCCAAAGACCAAACTGTTGCAAGTGTCAGGTGAAACCCTAATGGGCTGGGCAGGAACCGTCTCCAAGGAGAGGGCAGGAAGCAGGGAGCTGTCAGATTGACAAGTCCCAGAGTTCAAACAAGGCCAGGGTTCGTTCAGATCCCCCCAGGTGGAGCGCAGATCACGTCGAACACGTGGGGTTCCCATCAGAGATGCTGGGGGACCATGCACTGGAAGTGGGTGGGGCTCAGTTAGCCTTAAAATAATGAGTACTTTAGGTCTGTTCTTAAAGAACTTTAAAAGAAGACAGAGAAGAATCAAACCAATTTGCAAAGAACTTAGCTGCCTGCCATATGTCCTGCATTCTTTATACAAATATTAGAAAACCAGCAAGAAACTTAAAATTCATGATGTTCAGCAGCTGATCAAAATTACTGGACACATGGACAAGCAGGGAAATGTGACTCACAAAGAGGAGAAAAGTCAATCAGGAGACCAGCCACGAAATGAGAGAGATGATGGAAATCAGATTTCAGAACAGCTCTGATTCACATGATCCATCAGCCCAAAGATGTAAAGTAAAATGTTTCAATGAGAGAAGTGGAACTTTCAAAGATGAAACAATGTCCAAAATGAGAATTCCACTGGAGTGTATTAAAATTAGATGATATACTTCGGAAATAAGTAAATGTGAAGACAGCAGTAGAATCTGTTCAGAATGAAGCAAAAATATGGGCGCGGGGGCGGGGGGGGGATGAACAGGGCCTCAGTGTCATGTGGGAAAACACAAAGTGATTCAATGTGTGAGTAATCAAAGTCCCAGAAGGAGAAGAGAGGGAGGCTGATGAAACAAGTATTTGAAGAAATAATGGCCAAATTTCCCCAAATTTGATAACAACAGTAAATGCACATATTCTGGAAGTTCAATGAATTTCCAGTAGGATGAACTCACTCACACACACACACACGCACACACACAATGCTACAAGTGGCTGAACAGAAAATCTATAAAAACAGCCCGAGTTAAAAAGAACAT